ATGATCAGCATTTGTAATGTTCTTTATGCTCGGAAAATTTCAGAACATTACACATGATCTATGGAAAGTTATGGGGGTCCGTTACTTCTGACGAGCACTGTATTATCATATTTCAATTTAGTATCTTGTAAAATTCACTCATCAAATAAATTTTTCACAAGTTAGCTTTTATAAAAATTCGAGATTTTCTTTTCAATAAATATAATCATAATTTCTAAAGACAAATTTATAACCATGCATGCTAATATTGCTAAAACTAATGCTTCATCTAATAAAAATTAAACTTAACCCAAAAGAGAAAATAAAGGTCATTGTAATCCTTTCAAAAATCGTATCAACGAGCAGAAATGACTTAGAACTTGAAAAAAACACATCATTAGATGGATTACCATCTGTTTTAGTAGGTGAAGGCACCACAACGGTTGTTGCAATAACTAATACTTCAGATGAAGGTTCAATGGTCGTAATTATTTCTACGGAAGAATTATCTAAAGTGGTAGTAATTAATTTTGTGGAGGAAGTTGCCAAAGTGGTTGTACTATATTTTACAGAGGTGATGGGTGTTCTAATAGAACTTTGAGTTTTCTGTGAAGTAGGCAAATTATTCTTAGTAATTGTAATTGTTTGTGTAGGCGTTTCATTTTGTGGTTTTGTTTGAGAATTTGATTCGTTATTTTTACTCACAGTCATAATAGTTTGCTGAACGGATTGATAAGTAATTGTAATTGTATTTTTAACACTCACTGTTGTTGTCGATGGTGGTGGGGGTGGTTTTGCTGATGTTACTGCTGATGGTGGTGGTTTTGCCGTTGATGACGATGGTTTTACCGTTGACGATGATGAAGATGGTTTTATCGTTGACGATGACGATGACGATTTTGCCGAAGTTGCTGACGATATTAGTGATGGCGATGATGGTTTTACCGTTGATGCTGACGGTGGTGGTGGCGGTGGCGGCGATGATGATGGTTTTGCTGTTGGTGCTGACGATGGTGGTGGCGGCGATGATGATGGTTTTACCGTTGATGCTGACGGTGGCGATGGCGGCGATGATGATGGTTTTACCGTTGGTGCTGATGATGGTGCTGATGATGGTGGTGGTGGCGATGATGATGGTTTTACCGTTGTCGGTGCTGATAGTGATGATGATTTTATCGCTGATGTTGTTACCGGTGGTGTATTAACTAGTGCACTACTGCTACTAAAATAAGGTCAAATTAAAATTAAAAAAACTACAAGTTAATAAGTATATTTTTAATCATACCAATACATACGATTTTTGAGCTAAAACAGTAATAGCACATATTAACAAAAATATCATTATTATTTTGAGATTATTCATTTTTAAAAATCGATATTTTTTTAATCAGATTTTTTTAGTTTCGTAGTCTTTATATTGTTTATCCGTGCATACATGTCACGTAGAAATTTCTAAGAAAGTACAGTTTTTTATTTTATTTTTAGAATCTCTGAATTTTTGAAATCCATTGAAATGAATGCACAAAATAAATCGAGTTTTTTTTGGTGAAACGTGATTTAATCTACAATGAAGCCAAAATAACGCTTCTTGATTGTTGCGACACATAACGAGGCTAGTTGAGTAGCTAGTGAAACGTCAAATTACTCGGATCTTTTTGAAGGAGATTTGTTTTATTGAAGAATGGGCGTTTCCAAGATAGTTTGATGTAACATGATTTTTTAAATTGTGACAAATTATGTAAGATGAAAGCAATATCTTTTTTTAGGGGAAGACAATCATGATATAGAGTATACTGATTTCTGATTATTCGTATACCCATCCATTTTTTTAATACTTAAAGGTATTCCCGTAAAAAAATAATCAGACAAATCTGATATTTTTAGTTCCGGAAAACCACAGATTTAGTTAAATTTATCCGGTAACATGATCTCATGCTTCACAATAATATCATCATTTGATTTGTCAAATCTTGACGAATCGAATGGTGTATTTTTTGTCCGGGTTGGATTAGTGAATCGTGCGCTATCATGCTCCAAAGTTACCGGATAAAATTTTTTTATTTCTCCGTTTTTTCCGTTTTTAATTCGGAAATTTTATAACTTAACCTGTGGTTTTCCGGAACTAAAACAACAGATTTTTGCCTGATTATTTATTTTATAGGGTATTGGTCCGACCTTGCATCATTTAATATTATTTAATAAAAATATTAAAATAAGAAATTTTTTATGCATACAATTCTATAACATGTCGATTAAAAGAGTTCCGATTTAAAGAGGCGACCTTATTATTAACGTTAAGAGTCAAAACAAAAATGTTTTGCTGGGAAAGGGTGGTGTCGACAAATTAGAAATACATGTATATAGAGGAAACCAATATCGATCCGATTTAGATACTATTTAAACTTCTTGATAAGAAGTACGTATAGTGAAATGCACTAGTATCAAAATTTACTAATGAAAAATTTATGAGTAAAATTGAAAAAGAAAAACCAGAGTTTTATTTTGATAACTGTTGGCATTTCTTTTGATTGCCACTGTATGTAGTCAAGAAGTTTATCAAAGTCACCATACGGCTGGCAATCAGACAAGGTCAATTCTTATGATATTTCAATAATAATGGAAAATTTTATTAGGTAATAATATTTTTTCTTTTTTACTGCACCCAGCCAGCTTTTCTAGTGTTTTAAATTATTAATTAAGATCTCTGTTTCAAAAAATTTCTGATACAATTATACAAAATTAATATTCAAAGATGATTTGTACTTTATACAGCATTTTGATTAGAGGACAAGGTATTCTTAATAGTATTTGTTTGTAATAGTTATTATTTTCAAATTTGTCAAAGTTGTTTAATTATTTTTGCGGGTATAGTTCCTGTGAAATAATTAATTATTCTCATTTGAGGGTACTTCTTACTCTGAATATTTTGCAGAGATTGATAAATTATGTTTATGATACGTAGTTACTAAAATCAGGAAAGAAGCAAGTTTATTGAAGATACAAACTTTTATTATTGCACAAATAAGTACATGTTTATAGTGATAATACTTAGGAATATTTTATTGAATACTAAAATAGAGAAACAAGTTTGTTGATTGTACAAAATTTTGCATTTTAATAGATTGATGTAGAAGGAAATTCTAAAGAATATTATTTGGAGCTTGTGCTATTTAGTCGTAGCGGTAGATGCATGTGCTCCAAGAATTAAATTGATTTGATGCTATTTTAGGAATATCCTCTGAATTCAGATTTCCATGTGTTAGAAGAGATTGATATTTATTCTAATAATATATAAGCAATAGAACGCATTATATATAGTTGTAGTAGCTGTTACAGTTGAATATACTAAGCTTGAGAATTTAATACTTATAACTATCGGATAAAGTAATAGAACGTATTGAAAAAGTGAAATTATTTTTGTGTGATTCATTTTATTAATTAATAACTACAAATATATCAATAACCAAAATTTTTTATAATATTAATTTATCTTTTTTTACTATTCACTTAAAGCAGTAAAAAAAAAACAGAATTAGTTTCACGAAAATTTTTATGATCTTTCCAGGCCAGGCCAGAATTTAGAAAATCTTCCAGAAAATTTAATATGATAAATGTTAATACCGATCTCAGCCAGCTTATATCAGACTTATCTTTGAATAAATATTTTGAAATAATAATTTTTAACCAGCTTTTATTAGCTTATCTCAAATCATTTCAAGATAAATATTGATATTTTATAATATATTTCAAAATATTTAACTTGAGATAAGTCTAAGAAATTTTTAGTATTAAAAATTTTTTTCTGATTGGATAAATCTCATAAAATATTATATAATGAATATAATTAGTTTTTATAATATATGAAACAAAAATTTTAAGAAAAAAACATACTTAATAATATTATTAATTTATTTTTTAAGAATTACTAATTTATTTTTAAGAATTATTAATTATTTTTTATTTAAAGAGAAAAAAGAAAAGATATTTACTTACTAAATCTCTAAAACTTTTTCTTATTAAATTGATCAAACAACTAAATTACTTTGATTGCTTTACATGATCAAACTCTTTCAAAATATTAGCAGAAACTTAATGATATGATATATATTTGTTTACCACAAAAATAACAGTTTTGTCTGAAAAATCTTGTTCATAAATGCTCATATATCAAGCAAATTAATATATATAATAATGAATCTTGATTAGGATTATCAATTCTAATGCTCATAAAATGATTTTTTTGAGATTTTTAAAAGAATAATTATAATACAGATATGAATACTTCTTTATCTTCTTCAAAATGACTTAATAAAATTGAGCTTATAGTAAAACTTTGAGTATATATATATATAATTAGCTATTTTAATAATTTTCTATAAAATATTTTGTTAAATGCAAAGTTAGACTGTTGACTAAAAATATTAATTGCATAATATTGTGATTTTATCAGATTAAAAGTATGTAATTTGTATTATATTACTTTATCAAATTTTTCACCTACAAGTTATATTTTGTAAGAATTTAATTTATTAGATATTATTATAATTATATTATTAATTTTATAATTTATAAAATTATAAAAATCATATAAAAAACTTAGAATATTTTATAATTATACTATATTATTATATTTATATACTCTTATTTTTTCATATACTTTTTATACTTTATATATTTTATTTTTTTTCAGAAGATGAAATAAAGAGATAATAATTTGAAAGAAGTATTCATAAACTTTCTATATTATTTGACTAATTTAAGAAATAAACAAAGTAATTTAATTATATATGATTATAAGAATTCTTAAATTTTTTTATAGTGAAAGAATTCATTAAAATTTTTTTTCAATGATATATAATCTAGAAAAAGTAAAATTTTTCTTATAAAATTATATTTTTTAAATTTAATTTAAGTTTGACTTTTCTAATTTATTGGAATAATTGTTCTAAATCTTATAAGTAATCTTTATAGCTTTTGGAGTATATATATTAATATTATTAATATAGATTATTATATATTTTTAATCAAAATTATCTAATATTATATTTATTACTTATTGAAAAGTCACAAATATATTACAGAAATTGAAAGATATTATAAAAAAATTCATAAATCTTCTCTGAAAACAAAAGTAGTTTTCTCAATATTCTGTTTATTCATTTCAATTTGCCAATATTTATTAATTAGATCTAGTAATAAATATTATTTGATATAATTTAAATTATTTAATATTTTATTAATTCTAGATAAAAAAATATGTATTTTTTTTGTAATATTATTAATTTTCTAATAATCTATATAAAAATACTTCTTTTTATTTGTCTTATTAACTATAATTATAAATAAATCTTATAGATTATTAGATTGTTATATAAATTTTGCACTTAATATTTCTTTATATATAAATCTTAATCTGATAACATAACTTAATAGCTTTTTTGTTAAATTAATTTTTTATTATTAGTATTAATCAAATATTATATAAGATTTATTTAATTTAATTTAATTATATTGAAAGCAAAAATATTCTAATATATTTTTAACAATTTATTGAGTTTTTTCATTTTTTGTTGGATTAATATTCTTTGTTCTATTACTTTATTTTGATCTTTATTAAGAAAGTAAATTTCTAATTTATCATAATCTATAAAACTAAATCTGATATTTTCTTAACTTGATCTTTGCAATTTTTGTTTTATTATGATAGCTTG